CCCGTACTGTAGCTTGATACACACGTCCCTTCAGATTCAGGGATAAACCATTCTGACGCCATAGGTGTCTCAAGTTAGCGAATGCGGCCCGAGCCTTGCAGATTCGTTCATTCACCTCATCTGTCACACTACTATCAGAACTAATACAACTTCCAAGATACGTAAAACGCTCCACAAATTCCAGTACCGTACCACGCAAGGTATCGGTCTACCAGAAGCCATTTTTCAGAAGTAATAAGGTGCACCTGCTACACACCATGGCGGTGCTGCACCGGTTCTGTAACTAAGGTAAACAAATACCAGGAAACACAGTGCGGGTGAACGATCGGTCTCAAACATACAGTTTTCATACAAGCCCGAACCAGCAGCTTACACGCGCAGCTGTAAATCTGAGAAGTGTAACATTATCTGAAACCAACACAAGCTTCAGAAGGACTGAGTCGATCGTTCGTTCTATACACACTTGACTGCCCAATGAAGTATGCGAATTTCGCTATTTATTTGAAAAACCTGGCCTACAGACATGAGAAACGAACTGGAGCCACACGAACAGACAATAGTGCTCGACTCACGCAGGCCAACATCTGTGCATTGAGGATATCAACTTTCAACAGAAACGAATTCATAGCGTTTGCTTGTGTCCTCCGAACAGTAAACAACCGTCAATGATCAGCAACCGATAGGGATCACGTGCGCAAGTATCGCTCATTTCAGGACACCTGCACAAACTCCAAGTGGGCTTTGGTTGAAGCCTGCTTAACCAGTGAGCTGGAAACCAGATGAACAACTATGAACTCATTTTCTGCACGAAATGTCAACTGAAGGAAAGTGTCACGACGGATAGTCTAACCTGGTCTCATGTAGTTCCAAATAAAGGACCAAGCGAAGATGGGGAATTCCTGCTTACCACGGCGACAATTTTCGATCTACCTCCTCAAAAAGCTGCAGACGGATATCCATGCACTGTCTGTTTTCATCATCATCATCACTGTCAGGTGTAATAATCACGTACTCGTCGTACAGTGGTTATAGCTACCACAGTTTCACTCACCGATTATTCAGAGAGGTGGGGTAGATAGCTGCGCAGGCGGGAGCTGATAAATTAGTGCGTGAATACAGCACTGTAGGTGGACTGTTAAGTGGGGGTTTCGGGAAGAGAGCTATGCATTGAAGGCGGTAGCTTGAATGCATGAGCGCCATTGAGGGCGCGACTGCGCCATATCTGACAATGATATGGCCCGTCTCGGGGTCCCCATCCAGGAAGACGACAGTGACTAGCGCAGCTGAGTTTGCTGGTAATGGCTTTCGCACTTCGCTGCCAAGTCATTGTTTGATCGCCTCTGGCTCTCTTCCACCCTCCACGCAGTTGTGCGAAAAGAGCTCTTCGAGGAAGTCGGTCGACTGGCATATGCAGCACGTGGCCAAGCCAGCGCAACTGCTAAGTTCCCTTTGAAGGAAAATTCGAATTAAACTCGAAGCATTTACTACGGATCCTTCCTCGCCAGTCGTGTTCCTTATAGGGGAAGAGAAAAAGTGTCAGAGGAATGAGGGCTTTCAACTGCTAATCCTGATTTCAGGTTGAAAACATTGCATGATTCGATCGATCATTCCACTTCGCGGTGTTACCTGACAAAAGTTTCAGAAAGTCTCGAACTCATTCCCTATTTACCATACCTCAATACCGGTGGGAACGCAAAGCTCACGAAGCGCTCTTGCCCGGCTTTAATCTCAGGAATGTTGTCTGACAGGGTTGCCCAATCTAGCCCTTTTAAGCCCCCTAACCGAAACGCTGATGCAAGTGTTTTAACTGCACCGAACCCTTTGAATTAGCATCACCAGTTAACTCATTCACGAATAGGACATCTCACTGTCTATTACCTTCCTTTTGGGGTCTCGTTGAAGTGTTTTGTTTTGTCGGGTGAATTACGGACCACGAATTTATCCATTCGCTCGAACAACAATTCGTGCGCCGGATAAGCACCAGAAACCATGAAATCACCCGTGACGTAGGCATCACAAAACATCGTGGATTCTCTCGTGCATTTCAGTCTTTTGCCGGTATATACAGGTTTTCCATCATTCAATGCATTTATTATAGAAGAAAGACCATTAGTGCCGAATGAGTTTGAGGCTACAGATTATTCCTTTTCGGTCTTGGCTAGATATGTTATAAGTTTTCGTTCCACTCACACACCTTTTCCTCTCCTCTATGACGATGCTGTACCTAAAGAGAGCTTCTTATTTCTATTTGTTTTCGCAAACTACACTGACGATTTTCAGCTATTAGCATTTCTAGATTTTCTAGATATGCCGACTCGTTTCCTCAGACTTTTCAAACTTTAGCCGATTAGATGACGAACTCCGGCTTCCTCCGATGGACCCGACTTTCATCTTACTCCCCCAAATCACTTAAAAGCAACAGTTTCTTTTTGCTCATCTGCTATCACTCGTCTGTTGATCTTGTCACAGCTCTACAGTGACTGCCAACGCATAATTTCGATTGTCGAAGGCACAGAGTACCTTGGTGTGCAATTACCCTATAGTATCGCCGTTTTGTTGCCACATCCGTTTCACGTAGCTTCATATTGTCCACTTGCGGTTGTTCCTAGCCAGTTCCACAAATATCTTAGGATTCTTCGTTGAGACTGCCAGGTGATTTCACGTGCTAACCTCATCTCACCTCTCTCAGGTGCATTACTTTTCCTGTTTATAAAATGCGCGAGTGTATTCTTACTAACAGATTTCATGCTTTCATCCGACCTGTTGGCGACAAAATCTAAAAAAACGTTCTGCATGAGACGTTTGGTATTCCATATTTGGGTTGATAAAATACAAGCACTAAGACTATGAGAAAGCCTCGAAATCTCCTTATATTTGTTATACCACAGTTGTTACATGACTATGTTCGCTTTGCGACGAAAATCCGTCAATATCCGGACCAGACCGACGTAGAATACGCCCAGCCAACCATTGAGACTAGGTAGTAGGCTTAAACAGTCATCCAATAAAAAGTGCTGCATTAAAAAACTGGCTTTTAACTCGACTGCTTATGGCACCAGCGTGACAACAGCGCACTCGCGACCAGGGTTGTGTGGACGTGAAATCCGGTCACTGCGCAGAAAAGGACAGTCTTCTCTCGACCATCGATGTCTCCACGGGGGCGGGATGGTCCAAGTGGTTAGAGCGCCAATTTACCGACCGGAAGGTCCGCGGTTTGAACCCAACATTTGGCACTCGATGTCCCCTGTCTAGGCTTGGGCAACCTGACAGTATCCCAGCCCTCGCGCTTCCTCCGGGTGGCATGGCAGCTAGGCACCGAAAGGGTGTTACAGCCGAACGATTTTTTTTATTTATTATTTTGCACATGTTGGGAGAGCACTGGAACTTCAGTGCTGAACTGCTTCGCATGGTGCTCAGCAAGTCGGTCGATACACGCAGTGTACCGGCTCGGCCCCGTGTTACGCATGCCCAAAGACCGATGACATAGTCGGGTGAAAAAAACCGACAAGCGGGCAGGTTGGTGCAACAAAAAAGTACCGAAAGCCCAAATAAAGGTTTTAGTCTTGTCTGCTAGAACGAGGGGTCAGGGTTCGTAGCTATCGCTGACAGGGCTAAATCACGATCCCAGTGGCGGTTTTCCACCTAATCAATCAGCTTCACTTCTTGGGTTCCCTCTTCTTCTTTCGTGCACGACATTGTATGACTCTTCCTCCAAATTTAACCTTTCTCTGTTGGGCAGCCATAATCGCATAAGTGCTTTGCCGTTAAAAACAAAACGGCACAAGATCACTCACTCATAAGCATCAATTAGCGAAGTTAGATTTGTCGAGGGAAACCTCTAAGAGTGCCTAAAGTCTACGATGAGTTGCAAGCAGTTACCAACTAGGAAGCACTGTTCAGGATGCATGAGCTTGTAGTTGTGATGGGTTGATTTTTTTCACATCAAAACAAACCGCCTATGGAAGCAGATGTCGACGTCCTGTCACGAGGTGACGTTATATGTAGAAACAATATGGACGGTAGAAGCGGTGCTTCTTACTCGCAACGGTCAACTTCCAATGAGAGTTCCGGCCGGTTCGCGACGAACAAGGTTCGAAATCGGCGATCGCTGACCTGGAAAAATGAAACCGGTAAAGCAACACGAATGAGTATCATACAGACAAGATTTGTTCTGGCTCACTATAAGAGGGTATGGTTCCGTATACGTTATTTCTTACACAGGCTGTACATCAGTTGTCACAAATCAGCCAAGGTTTCAGTGTCAAAACATTGATAGTTCTTCGTAGCCAATTAGGTGATTGTTGACCTGTTCGGCGACCTAAGCAGGTGGGACGCAAACGTTCCGTCGAGCAGACATCGCCAGTACGCGCCCATGAAACGCTACGGTGACAAGTTTAGTAGAACGAAATCTCGGACCAGTCTGTACATTCATTTTGGTAACTGCTTAGTAGTACGACAAAATAAAAATGTAAGAACGATGCTCTACTGAACAAAGGATGTACTCCGACGTGTATACAAGACAAACAAGCTTTTTATGGCACCTTTTTTGCAAAACTGGTATCCTGAACAGTTCATCGACAAAATCAAGCAATACACAAAACAGGGAGCTGAACAACATTTCGACAATGAAAAGCGTGACTCTGTAGAACTACAATTCAAAAAGTGATTCGACTGCAAAGCCAGTCCCCAGGGTGCTAAATTAGTGCAGTGACACGACATACACGGCCGCTGGTCTGTGCGTGAATTTAAATACCATTGCCGCCATCAGGGCCCAATTCAAAGATAAACTGCCACACTCCTTCAGCAACTTTCGTGTGCAATCGGTCGTATATTCATGTGGAACACCATAGTTTATTTATGCTTGTCGGACAGAATACTGAACATAATCCAGTCTCCCTGAATGCTCATCAGAGGAAGTTTAACTCAGGTGAAATCGCAAAGTTCCTGACGAAAACTCTTCAGGCTGGTGTCAAGAAATTTGCCTTCTATGCCGGATACTCTGAAGAGACCGCGAACAGCAGGATTCAGACTGAAATTAACAGTGAGAACCGCTGGAATCCGGTGATGTGTGTTCACGGGGAACCTATGCGGTCTCTGAACTAGCGCTGATCTTTGGTTGAGGCATCAAGTCTACCCGAAAGATTCCAAAATAAAGTGACTGTCCATCGACCAGTCACGATAAAAGGGTTCCGACCTAAGACATTACGAAACAGACATAATACATCCACCGTACGTATACTGCAGATCCTCACCTGCCGTTTGACAGAATCTAGTTGATCTTTTGTACGTTCCAAAGCATCCAGAAGATACGCTTGTTCTGTTGAAATTGTCATATTAAGAAGTTGTTGCATAACTTTGGCTGCACTTCGACTAGCCTCCGAAACTGAACTGGAACGCCGATTGTTCGATGAATCATTTAAGGCGTTACGTTTCTGCATCGAGAAAAAAACGGGCATAAGAGACGAAATTAGGGTTGGAATTCGGGAAACCGTCTAATTAATGACTCGCTGATATAGCAGGTGTGCCAATGATTGCTCTGGTGTACTCCGAAGCATAGTGAGGTTGACATTGCGTTCTGAGCCACACAGTGGATTAAATGGAGTACACTGGAACACATTTAGATCGACTGTCACAGCACTTCCAGGTGAATGTTCAACAAGGATGCCAAGCTAGAAAAAACTGGCTACGTGTTGAAGTATGGGTTTGTTGGTTCGACGACAGCCAGTCTGCTCATGCAGATGGTTGCTTCTGAATTTTGATGGATAGTTGGGACGGTGTCTGATATGGGCAGGGCAGAAATGGAACTAACCCAGAGAACGTCTGAATGCTGTAGCGTTTTCAGGTTATAGAAGCTGACTGCTATTTCGCTGAGAACAGGAGTTCTGAATATGCAATGTTTTCGGTTTCATACCAGGGTTTAGACATTCCACGACACCTTAACTTCATATGGGATGGGTTTTTTTTAACTTTAATCGTCAAAAATCCTGTCGGGGACATCTCAGACACTATAAAAAGTTCGGGGAAGCCTTATACTGAAAGCATGCGGCTGTACAACCTTCAGCGCAGTTCGAAAGTAACTACCATTGAAGATTCGATTGAAGTTTCATCGTCATCATCATCATTATAATCATCATCAAAGACAGTTGAAATTCACACAGCCCGGATGCAGTGACTGTAGGGTAAAAAGTACACAAAGCTGCAGGCAGTCAATGATTCACCTAAAGAGCGAGAAAGTGCAACACCAACCGAATGAGGTTGCTGGATGGAAACCGGTTAAGTTGAACTCTCATTGATGAACTGTCACAGTACTCACGGTATCTTCAATCAAACCACAAAAATACAACACACGATTATACCGTCACTTCAGCGACCTGACTGACCTAACATTAAAAGTTTATCTACGAAAAGCCATTAGGCCAGCAATGGGAGAGTGACCTTAATAAACAATGGAAGTGCACACTTGGGTTGTCAGAAATCACAATCAGTGACTGATATAGGTCAATCAAAGCAATTGTACGAAACCCAGCAGCAGGGTATTATGGATTCGAACTCAAACGACTGAACCAGATGAAATTTACGGTTGATCTAGCGTATGATCCCCAAGTCGTTAGATGAAAGCCCACCAAGATGTTCGTCCCCATAATCTAGTATTCTTACACCGTACCGTCATTTACCATTAGATCACTTTTGGAGAAAGTTGAATCTGAAAATGGTCCCATAAAGGAGACGATTTCCCCCATAAACAGGTATCCACTTTGTTTTGAGTCTGTTGTGATAAGTAGCTCTAATCCAGTGAAATTAATTACAGGGTAATCACTAAGTCGCTCTCCGCAATGCAACTGCGCGATCAGTAGCGATCACCATTTAGCAAAAGCTGAGTACGGATAGATCTTGGCTGACACGGGAGATAGAGCAGAGATTGTCCAGTCTGTGTAGTTTAGTCAAACGTAAGGCGTGTCTCTGTTTTACCCTACACGGCTGGAAACTCAGAAGTCTATGCAAGTGAAAACGTTGCGTCCACGGAAGCGTGCTTCTACCGGGAGTAGTGGTAAACTCGAGACAGCTCAGTGGTTAAGGCATGAATTTGCTGACCGGAAGGTTCGTGGTTCGAACCCAACCCCAGCACATTGACTGTCTAGGCTTGCACATTCTGTCCGGGCTCAGCACTGGCTCAACCCTCGTCCTTCCTTCGGGTGGCATGGCAGCTATGCACTGAAAAGATACTAGAGCCGAACAATTGTTTTTATTATTATTTCTGTATTGAAAGTGGAATCGTGAAGTGGGTGGCATTGCATTTTACCTATCTGAAGGACTGCATGTTGCATAGAGTATACTCTCTTGCGTGTACATTTTCTGCCCTGCAGATTAAGTGTCTCTTCATTGATGATAACTGCTCTAGTGTGGAGAGCTACTGGTCTAGTATGGGCGAGATGTCCCAAGTGACTAGAGCGCGAAATTACTGACCGGAAGGTCGTGGTTCGATCTACTGGTCTAGTATGGGCGAGATGTCCCAAGTGACTAGAGCGCGAAATTACTGACCGGAAGGTCCGTGGTTCGATCCCGATTTCTGCATCTCGATTCCCCTGTCTAGGCTTGGGCAACCTGGCAGTATCCCAGCCCTCGTACAACCTTCGGGTGGCATGGCAGTTAGGGACCGAAAAGGTTCTGCAGCTGAACGATTTTTTTTCATAAACGAAGCACTCCATCCAAATGAACAAACATCTCATAAACGAGAGCAAAGTACTCGGAAAATTCTGAATTGGTATCCAACGGCCGTTTGCTACAGTCTTCAAGCCTGAAACGTTTCCCGGTGCACCGAATCTCTGGAAAAATCCTACAAATGTGACATCATTTAGGTGCAAGCCTACAAGGCGAGCCTTGAGAAACCAAAGAGTTCAAAAACTGGCAAGCTGTCTAACTCTAGACGCGAATAAGGCGAAGTACCAGGGGCGTACATAGACCTGACTGTCCAATCGCGTTCCAATTCAACATGAGTAAGCAACGAATCGGAATATTGGGAAGAATCATCAACTCACTTTCGACGAGGATGGCCGCAAGCTGATAATGGGCATTTCTTCCTCCAAGGATGAGATCCTGACGGACGGGAGGTGGATGGAAGTAACCATTCGATAGGAGCAAAAATATCTGGTATCGAACAGGCGTTGAAACTGTTTCTTATTAAGTAAAAATGGCTCGCAAAAGAATGGGGAATATTTTACGAGGACCAACTGTGAGAACCGCAAGACGATGAAAACTCACAAATTTGGTTACGGAAGTTAGACGAATTTGAGGAGAAGTCGACGAGTCGTAGAGAGAAGAAATAGGAAAGGTTGGATACAAAGAAGTGGAATTATAGTGGGTTTATTAATAATAATAATAATAGTAATAATAATATAGTAATACGGATATTTATTATCCGTATATTGCTTTTCAATGCGCAGCGGTTATGCCACCCGAAGGAGGCACGACGGCTACATCCGTTGCACAAGCCTAATTAAAAGCAGCCGATATACCGAGGCTGGGTTCGAACCAAGGACCTTCCTCCTCAACCAATGAGATCATCGAAGGTTAGGATGAATGGACAGTGAGCGATGGATGAATGAGCGATATCAGCGCTTGATCGAATCGATCTTACGTGAAGGATGACAATCTGATTATCAATTAAACCAAGCTAAGCAATTTGATCCGATTGTGTACGAATCAACAAGACCCGACCAGCCCAGTCAGAGAACAAAATTCAAAATGTACCAGGCGTTGACATGTTGAGGTTAACCACACCACTACCATTATCTTCATCGACGGCAGTATACCAGCCATGAACACTAGTGCCTAATTGTTATACAACCATGAAAATGCCTGGTAAACGGGAGGGACGGGGACTTATTACAATCAGCCTTATGGCCCTAGGGAAAATGACCAAGATCGTGTTACCCACACTTTGGAACAGCAAAGAGATAAACCCACATATGGAAGTAAGACATCGGTAGCATCTGGTCATGTAGTATACGGTGTCGTTAGTTTGAGTTACCCACACTTTGGAACAGCAAAGAGATAAACCCACATATGGAAGTAAGACATCGGTAGCATCTGGTCATGTAGTATACGGTGTCTGTTAGTTTGATTGATTCATATGTAAGTATTGATAATGTACAACCTTGCTTACTGGGCTTTGGCTCATGAGCTTTGTTTCTGTCTTCCATCTACGTAAGCCCAACAGACAGAGTCAGAAAAACTTTGGCGAGACAGTCCGATTAGGAAGTAATCGCATGCTACCATGTAGGGCGGTCAAGTCCCCTGTCCTGTAAGCTTTCTAATCATGTTCAAAGGAAATCACACGGAACCCATCCAGGAAGGCACAAAAATCCCAGAGAACTCAGTCTCTCTTTGCCAAATCATGGCCTGCTCCACACGGATCCTTCCGCAACAAAAGCACGGATTTTGAAAACATGTTCTCTTCAGTAGTTGGTCATGTGAAGTACATGCCCCAGCTACTTTAACACAATGATTCTCACCAAGTACTCGCTTACATACGCTGCAGCCATTTAACACCGCTATATCACGAAGGCAGTGATGAACAAACATTTGAACCTATCTAGTATTTGAAATCCGTAGGGTGACATTGTCCTTAGGGTTGTTTTGTGCACGCGGCCCTTCGGCTTCATTGAAATTTGTTTCTGAGGTCATAAATGAGGCAAAGGGCTCGAGACAGGTTAGTTTCTAAGGCACCTGCTTACAGACAGGAACGTCTGTGGTTCGAACGCGGTGTCCGCGCCTCGATTGCTCGTGTATAGGACACCTGGTGTAACGGTGATACTACTGATTGGGAGGCATGCGAGTAGCATGTTTTCCTTGAACTCCGTTTTGCGTCTCTTGGAAAGTGAGATCTACTGCAGAATTTGCGGAGTCGCTTTGTAGCACTTGCTTGGATTTGAGCAACAGTCAATGAATATCCAGGAAAGTTCAGAAAGACGCGTTCAAAGAGAAGATGGGTATTCAGTTTTGTGAGCAAGATGCATATGAGAGTTTCGCTTCCCTGTCCAATAGTCTGTAACTGTTCAGTTGGCATTTTCTAATGAATAACTCTGCAGTGATGGCCTTCTTCCTTTCAGCGGGAATACTAGCTACCACGTTCCTAGCACCGCACACAGCGGTTGTTATCTCTCTTCAGTTGCTATCGTCTTCTGAAGAAGTCACTTTTAAAGCATCGTATTGCGGGTTTTGATGTGCTGGCTAGATTCGTGGTTCAGAAAGCCTTTCAGCTGCTAAAAAAGAAGCTTGGTGCTTAGTTTTACACGAGAAATTCAGTGAACATTAATGGTGGATGGAACATAACTCAAATCAACAGGTGTGCCCTAGAGTGATCGGTAGCTGATGCCTATATGATGGATTAGGCCCTACGGCTGTTTAGCAGTATGGATACCCGACGCAGGTGCGCGGTACACCTGAGGAACAATTAGTGGTCAGCGCAAAGTTGTGACATTCACCACTTTGACCCTAGGCTAAAATCGCCACCAAAACATGTCTTGCGTAAACTGAGGCACCCTATTAGTGCATGGAAACCTAGGATTATTTCTGAACCCTTCGTGCTGGATAAGAGGGTGGGTATTTTTCAATAAAAGGTATCTTTTACGGTATTGGGGTCCCCGACCGTCTGCCGGAAATTAAGCAAAATCAAAAAATGACCCGTTCCTTCTTGTTTTACTAAGCCAATCTCTCAAGTGCCGATCTGACTTTGAATATCACCCACTAATGTATTTCCAAAACCCATTTTCCCGAGAAAGAGCTAGAATATCCAAACGCAAGTAACTGTCCACAACTTGTTTCGTAAACGGAGCTGATCGGTTCACACGAAACAAAGCACTGAATCAAGCGGATCATGTAGAATAGAGCTGAACAAGACTATCCTCTGAAATACCGATGGGTTTTCTCAGTTGTGTGTTTGCTGGTGCATAAAACTACACCTGTGTCGTCATTCGAGCAGAATTTAAAACGCAGCGCGTCGTAAAACAGAACTCAAAAGTGGACACAGAATCAGGAGGTAACGAATAGATTTTAGATGCCATCGTATCAGTCGTGCCCTCGAACTGTGTTTCGAACTGCGCTGTTCCCCATAAAGGAGTTGGGTTGAAATTAAAGTAAATCGTACGGTGAGTTCAGTTAACAAGAACTGAAAAAAGATGGAAATACTGCCGTTCGAACCCGAATTTAAAGAACAAGATTACTGGTGCTCACTCATTCTGTTAATGCGGAGTATATCCCCACAAACAATCGGTCAAACCGTTTAGCTTTGACACAAGGCGAAGCCTTTACGGGCAGGAGAGATATGGAAATGAGAGTTTTTCGCCAAAACAATCCTACGTCTCGACTCTAAAGCGTTTCCAGGAGCGCCCTTATTTGTCCTATATCACTGACAGTTCAGAAACACGTATTGGACATTGGGTGTCTGAAGCAAACTATTCGTGCTGTAGATGTCTCTTCTAGAGTACCGAAAAGACGGGACCAAAGAATTTTATTTGGCTGGGAATTCACTGAAACTCCCACTGAAGTAAACATTAGATCGTAATTCTGCATACCTAGCTGTAGACAACTAGTGCGGGATGGCTCAATAGCTAAAGCGCAAATTTACTGACCGGAAGGTCCACGGTTAGACCCGACCTTTGCCTCTCTACTTCCTCCTTCTAGGCTTGGGTAACCTGGAAGTATCCCAGTCCTCATGCCTCCTTCGGGTGACATGACAGCTAGGGACCGAAAGTGTCACAATTTTTATTTTTATTTTTAAGACAACAACCACTAATTGAAAATGAATTGGCTCGTTCAAGGTCGACAACCAAATAAAAACACAGTGCATCAAAAAAGGCAACCAATAGCATTTTACCAAAACTTCTTGCATCATCCATCATTGAATAACAAGCAACCAATGGGTTTCCCCTTATTAGATGCGCAACCCTGATACGAATAGCAAACAAACCCCCTAACTTGAATGACGGGAATTACGAACTTTTAACATGACTAGTGTCCAGAAGATGACCGACGGCACCAAGCTCCGGCAGATTCAAGGCCACTCATCCTGCCGAAAAAGTGCATACCAAAAAGAGCTAGTAAGAGTTAGACTGTCAGAAAAGTAGTGAAGTAAACTCACTTTAACTGCAAATCAGACCATCGGTCCCCGTATTGCTTCATCAATTCGAGTCGCTTGCAGTGAGCCCGTCGAGATGATCGATAAAATAGCAGCATCAGGCATAATGTGAACAGTATGGCAGAGATGGTCGCGGCAGGCAACAAGATAACATGAAACAATGAGACGCCTGAAATCGTGGAGCAGAAACGAACAATGAGTAAGGCTATTTTCTCCAATAAGTTGTAACAGAAATGCTCCTCTACAGGAGAGTTCTCTGTTCCTAACCAATAAAAAACATTGAGCAAAACCAGGCTGGTCCAAAAGAAACGAAAATTAATTTCTTGAAAGGACAAATTGAAGATTGCAACTAATCCCGAAATCAGATGAATGTGAATTTTCTGCTAAGATGGAAAAGAACGTGAATGTCGACAAAGGCCAGTATGGATGCTGGCGCTGTGATAACATGAGTGTGGTTAGTCATGAGCGTTATTTGGTCACGTAATCGGACGGTACTAGTGACAACGCTGGTCAGAAGCTTGTGTCTCCTTGTGATCCTTGTTGTCTCCCCCACATCACCGATTTGAACCCGTCAATATCGTCCTGCAAAAATCCACTAGTATCGTGACTTTCGGTTGAATGAGTGCTCAGGGTTATACGTGACACTGGGCAGCGACCGGATGTGGTTGTCAGTACACAAGGTACTATGAAGCAGTTGAGCAATCTGCGATACAAATACGATGTTTCAGGACCCATGGCATCGGTTGAAGACACTGCATTGGTCGAGTTTGTGGATAAACATTGGTAGTTTACAAAAGCAAAACAAGAGGCGGGCAAGCCTCGATTGATACACCGACTATTGATTCGATACATTTTACACCAACTGCGGCATATTCATTTAAAGTATATCACGAACGAGAGATTCACTTGACATTCAGTTGAGTATTCCGTTAAAAGCGAGTTTAGTTGCAAATGAGTACGCACCTCCAATTAAGTGCAACTTGGTGTTCAAGCGAGAAGCGAGGTCGAAACTCAAAAACTAGGCTCACTTAATGAGCCTAAAAAGGGGAGGAACCAGTAGTGACGTGTCAGGGTTTTCAACAACCTTGTAATTAGTCTAGGTTGATGTTGGGAAGTTATTCCGAAGCTCAGAAGGAGCATTGAGAAGGCAAATTCTGACGCATTTTCTGGGGGCATTTTTGGAGCCAATCAAACAAGCGACAAACGAAATCAAATCCTCAGTCAGGATCAATAAAAATAGCAAATTACCGTAACCTAACAAACATGAGAAAATTTCTTGCTGGCAAATCGGCAGGGGAAAACTGAACGAGTTTGACTTTTCGCTATTAGGTGCTTATTTTATATTGCAAGGAAATACATACCGGTGGACAGACCACAAATTGCTCCTAGTTGACGTACATGCTTAGATCACTTTTGTGATAATACAGTGCTCATTACTCAGGGTACGGGTATCATGAGTCCGAATTGATAGCAGGGTCCTTCCTCGTACCGTAGATGAACTAAAGTCCGAAGCAGACGAATATCTTCTTCCTAATAAAACTAGGTAATAATGGAAAAAATCGTTGAGCTGTAGCATTCTTTCGGTGCTTAACTGCCATGCCAGCCGAAGAAAGCACGAGGGCTGGGATACTCCCAGATCTCCTAAGCCTAGATAGGGGATGTAGAGGCAGTGGTCGGGTTCGAACCGCGGACCTTCCGGTCAGTAAATTCGCGCTCTAACCGCTGAGGTAGTTGGTTTCCTACGTTGGTTTTATCAACATTCAAAACACCTCGTCAGAAAGTCTTACTTGAAGCTATTCCATCCGATTCTAACACAAACGCAGGCAAAGCCCAAAACGACTGGTTTTGTCGTAGGTAGTCGCTTTGTTCAACTAATTTGATAACACTTTCTGAATAGGACAAAATACTCAGGGGAGGAATAAGCATAAGCATAGAACCGTTTCAACAAGCCGCATTGCTGGAAGGTTTGCGGTTTATAAAAGAAACTACTCCGCACTCCCCCCTTCAGTGAAATCGTCTGCTTCCTAGCTGTTTTTACGTAACTTGTCCCGTGGTTGACCAATCAGATGGGATTGTGCAACATAATGAAAGTCCAAAGTTCATATTCTCCAAAACACAGGCAATACACTATTTCTGGACTACACGTCTCGATCGGCATATCATCCCTTGAACACCCAAGGGATCCCAAGCCATGAATTGGTAAATGTTCAGGGGTAGGGCTGTGACCAAGTAAAACGGACCAGGTCTGAGTGAAAATGTTCATAAAACGGCGAAAATGGCACCCGAAGATTTTTCACAAAACGGCATGATCAAAACTGGACGGTTTTAAAGACGTACCGGTTGGCGGGCCATAAAATATCAGTGCCATGATTCGGCTTTCGATCGCAAGAAAGTCTTCGGGTGTCAAGTGATTCTTGATGACATGTGTATGTTCAGGAAGAAGGAAACTTTGAACAAGAAAAATGAGAAAAAATGAAGCCAGAAAGCTCGGGTGCCAACAATTCGTAAAAAGCAAAGTTAAAGTCAGTCGACCAAGTTCCAAAGACGTGTTTAAAATCAAGCAGACTGAGACAAATAGAGAAGACGCTTACCACCACTGCGCAGAAAATAATACCCTAGGGAACCACGGATATACGTACCAGAAAAGTATGTTCTCGCAGAAAGAAGCGAGACCTCGAGATCAGAAGTTATGCATAGGTTGGCTTCAACAGCAACACCTCACTGATGGGTCAGGTAAATTTCACAAGTACACCAGTTTTGTGTGTGCAAAACTATTTAAGACATTGTTCAGCTATAGTACCCTTTCGGCGCCCAACGGTCATGCCACTAGAACAAAGCACGAGGGCTGGGATACTGCGGGGGTGCCCAAGACAGAGGGAGTCGAGAGGCAGAGGTCGGGTTCGAACCGCGAATCTTCTAGCTCTAACCACTGAGCCATCTCGCACCCTGTGTGTGCGTAATACTGTCTACGGAATAGTGGAAATATACAATTTCTTTGTTAGCTACAAACCATGTACAATCGGCATACTGATTCCAGCTGCAACAGTCTCCAATATCGGGAAGTTGAAGAGTGTGAGATATACACCCAGGTCTTGCACGTGATGGAATGTTTGTTTAGTTCGGGAACTGGGTAGCTACAGAGTGAACGCGATAACTTCGATTCATGACCGCTACAGAGTAGGTGATTAAGCCGTTTGCCAGTGTCATTGGATACTGATAAGTTGAGTCCAGGAAAGTGGTGGGTATCGACCCGACTCAGTTTATTGGTTGGTGTTTTCATAGTTCGTTGCCAGGACATACAATGTCCACCTCTCGGTCGCTTCCACTCAGAACAGGGCTGGGAGAAAATAGCTCTGCTCTAACCACTGAGCCATCTCGCACCCTGTGTGTGCGTAATACTGTCTACGGAATAGTGGAAATATACAATTTCTTTGTTAGCTACAAACCATGTACAATCGGCATACTGATTCCAGCTGCAACAGTTTCCAATATCGGGAAGTTGAAGAGTGTGAGATAAACACCCAGGTCTTGCACGTGATGGCATGTTAGTTCGGGGCACCCTGTGTGTGCGTAATACTGTCTACGGAATAGTGGAAATATACAATTTCTTTGTTAGCTACAAACCATGTACAATCGGCATACTGATTCCAGCTGCAACAGTTTCCAATATCGGGAAATTGAAGAGTGTGAGATAAACACCCAGGTCTTGCACGTGATGGCATGTTTGTTTAGTTCGGGAACTGGGTAGCTACAGAGTGAACGCGATAACTTCGACTCATGACCGCTACAGAGTACGTGATTAAGCCAGGACATACAATGTCCACCTCTCGGTCGCTTCCACTCAGAACAGGGCTGAGAGAAAAGAGCTCTGCGAGCCAGACGGTCTTCTGGTGTGCGGAGTAAATGTCCTAACCAGCGTAACCTACGAAACGTGAGTAATTCACCTATTGCGGGACAGTTTCTTCTTCCTAGTACTACCTGGTGTACCTCAACTTCTCCACCCAGTCAACTAATACAACCTCCCAAATGAACAAAGTTAGCTACCCCGTCGATTGGCACGTCTACAAACATGAGGTTTGGTTTGATCCAACCCAGTCTTGTAGCAGCACTTTACACTTTGCAGGTGTGAAGCATATGCCAAACCATACGACAGAATTACTTAGGTTATTTAAAATGGTTTGCATTTTTTAAACATCTGCAACGATGGTTCGGAGAGATGGAAGCGGTAAATGATACAATGGATGAGTAATCACAGGGTTGGTAATGTGTTGAAATATTGGTATCTCGGGTGAGTTTATTGGTTGTTGATCACGTGGCTGTTGATCTGTTCGTCGAGGTTGGCAAAAGTTTCGTCACCATACGAGGTTATATCATCAGTGTGCGGGTGGGGACGCTGTTGATCTGTTCGTCGAGGTTGGCAAAAGTTTCGTCACCATACGAGGTTATATCATCAGTGTGCAGTCGGGTGGGTACTTCCTCTTCGCCTGCGTGCGTTTATAGCATGACACTGATGTGATTGGCCGCCTGGAAGCCAATGTTATTCGTGTCTGTTCGTCCGTTTGTGATCTCGGTTGCGTTGTGGTCTGCGTTCTTTTGAGTTGATTGGCTATCCCAACGCCTTCTATTTTTAGTGGTTTCTCCCCCGGCTTTGATCAGCCCGTTCTCGAGTTGAATCACGTTGCGGCTTGATCATCTCGAGAAAGATTGGTTGGTTGCACCGTTCTATTTTGTAAAGGCTGATGCCCCTGCTTCCGCCGGTTTATTTGGTGTTTGGTTTATTGACTGGGTGCCTCCGATCGAATTGATGCGTCCGTTTGAATCGGTCTTTCCTACTTCTCTTATCAGCTCCTCGTCTGGTGGGGAGGGATCATGGGGGAGGACCGGTGACCGAAGAGATGCAATGGCGAATGATACTTCCCGGTTGTCCAAGGAGGTTGGTTGAAGCACCCCACCTTCAGCCCCAAAAGTGACACAAGGCAGCGAGAGGATGTAGGGTTTTTATCCAGGGACCCTACCCTCAGCCTCTAACTCAAAAGTCTGGACAGCAAAGCAGCGGGTAGTAGGATTTTCTTGGAGGACCTTCCACGGAGCCAGTGACTAAATCGCCTGACCCACTTGGCTGCAGGAGGCGGCTTGGCCCTAGGATGCACGGAGTAAGGCACTACCTTTTCACTACTAATGCTGTTGAGCACAGCAGGTGCCTTTTGAACAGCACCGGGATCTTTGTTTTTTGAGGTATTTCGATCGTATTGGATCGGTTACGGTCAACCGTTAGGCGATCAAAGTGTGAGGTTGTTGAGGCAGCCTTTTTATAACCTGCCCTTCCTCGATGGAAAGCAGCATTGCTGTCTCCATGGAAATGCTGCTTGCATGGGGAAAGCGCCTTACTGCCTTCACACTCCTATCACAGAGGACAGTACGAATTTACCTCCAGACCACCTCGCCACATGAGTTCTCGAAATATAGAGGCTCCCTGCTTTCCATCGGGCCTTCCTGGCATGGTTGGACCTTCAGGAGCCAAGTTCCAGCCAATGTAACCCACAGAACCATTGCAGCATAGAGTCCAACCATGACCACCATGAGATGACAGCTTTAGGTTAGGGTGGAAACATGACATTACGACAGGGTCTTTTTGAGTGGCAGATCGACGTCCGCTGTCAAGCCTATGGGACAAGGTAGATATGCGGGATGCGAGGTACTAGACCAAATTCCAGGCAGTGTAAACTAGTGAACAGCTTTCGTTTATATTAAGCCTCACCTGGGTAGAAAAGCCCCAGTGACTTCGTGATCGATAAAAAGGCGCCGATGCTTGATGAGGTCGGGAAAAGTTGTCAGCCAGTCGGAAAGTTCTTTTGTTGTCCAGGTGGAGGCTTTGAAAATGCAGACGGAAAGAATTTGTTAGCGAGTAACATAAAGCCAAAAAATTTGATGAGATGAAAAACGCCAAATCCCTCACCAGTGTTTGAATTCCAAGCTAGAATCAGCGCTTCCGTAGAAAGAGTTCCTACAGTGACCAGGTGTGGATTACATAAAACGTGCCGACAGACAGAGAGGAACTGACTCTACGAAGATAATAACTCCTAAAAAGGTACGAAACAAACCTCGCCACTTTGAAAAGCATCATGAGCATCATTCCATTGTTGAGACAGCGTAGCGAGTGCCCGATGAATTTCGTACTGCTCATAATTAGGGATGTTCAACTTTGGGGCAAAACCTGAAAAGGAAGGGAATCAACTGAGAAGCGGCAGACTACGTTTCGAGAAGCAGTAGTAGTCCATAACGCGCACAACTTCCTCAGTCTTATTCACCATCCCCAAGTCCCTTTAGAGTCTATAGCGACAGAATAACTTGTTTTGGAAAATTTCCAGACACTCGAACGCTAGGTTAAGTGATGAAGATAACAGGAATAAGCAGACAGTAATGTGTGGATAACAGATTGTTCGCATGGGCAACATTTTCAACAGGTTTTCCGAAACATGTTTACACCCGGAACCTCGGAAGTCAAGGAGTACCAGAAGAAACAGATTACTGCAAATGACTGTCCCGGAATCAGAGCTGGGTTGGACGGTGCACTGCAAAAATAAATAACTCAGCTGAGGCACATACCGAGCCACCGTTGCCTCCATTATAACCACCCCAAGAGAGTGCCGAAATGCTTTCATGATGAAGTATCTTAACCTGGAGACAGAGTACTATTAGAGGTGTCCAACGCCTTCTGCACTCGGCTGATGAAAATTCCGTTGACTACGAACATTTTCGACAAATCACATCGAAACGTGGTGAAATGTAATTTTAACCAAAGCGATTGTACCGGATTACCAGTAGTTTCGCATGCACGTGGCCAAGAGTAAACCAATGTCGAATAAATCAGCACTAAAACCATGCAGAATTGAATAAATCATACAAAACAAATTAATTTCCTCATCAACAACACAACGTCAGTGTTTAGCACTAATGCTACGTTGCCATACAACCGTAAGTTATTTGAAAAGCTTATTGTGGAAAAAAAAGCATAGAAGTGGATGTGGAAGCGACCTGATATCAATCTATCAGTCATTAGGATGGAATAATTGTAATCCCTAATTATATCAGCACTGCGATACTGTATACCGTTTTATCGAAGGCGAGGAGGCTCAGTGGTTAGAGCGCGATTTTGCTAACCGAAAGATCCGTGCCTCGAACCCGGCCTCTACATTTCGACTTCTCTTGTGTAGGTTTCGGCAACCTGACAGTATCCCAGTACGTGTTTTCTTCTGGTGGCATGGCAACTAGACACCGGAAAGGTGTGACAGTTGAACGATTTTTTTTACCGTTTTATCCTGATTCCTGGCTTTGGTACGTCTATTTCGCTGTCCAAATGTGACCGCCAAACAAGCGACTTCGGCCGGTCTTCTTGACAGTCGGTTTGTAAAACGTACCTAAGTTGTGCTATTTATTCTTGGGGGCAAATGAGTTGCACCGGAAACTAGAAAGTTTCCTGTGACTTCGGTGAGTTTCATCCCTCAAAGAAAACTGCGCAAGTAGAAAAGGAACGATGGAATGAATCCAGTTACATTGTGCTCACCGGATATCTACCCCTCACCCAAGCTATTTGAAGCCGCATTCCCAACTGATTGTATGGAAGGAAATCAAAATATTTTAACGGATGATAGAAAAGAGTGGGTGGATGGAAAGGACCCAGTGCTGACCTACCACAAGCAGTCTGAGGTACCCACGCCTCCAAGCGTTCAGTCAGACAATCTGGAAACTGGCAACAAAAACGTCATTCATATCGATCAGCAGCCTTTCGCAATTTCTCTAGCCAAGCACAGGAGGTTATACGGGGGCTCTATCTCTGAAGGTATAACACACAAACACTCAAATCTTCGTAATCTCCTACACACCTCTATCACATTATGCTATCCCTGTTTTTGTGGTTTGCGTCATTCTGAAGGAAGCACGGGGAGCAACACTGGTTTTGGTAGACGGTGTCTCGGCAAGCGTAGGACATGACCGAGCCACCATAATTGATGGTGCTGCGTGTTTTCTGCGATTGAAGTGCCTGCTGCACAAACATCGGTTTTAAATTATTTCATTAAGAATTGTTTGACGCCATCCGACAGCAGCAACGCTCCTGAGGCATCGGTGACCAAAAACCTGAAAACGCCGACTGTCCACAGGGACCATGTTTCGCAACCATATAACACAGCCCTAACTGTGGCCTGGTACACGCGACCCTTGAGACTCAGTGATATGCCTTTTTGAGGGAACAAGTGATACAAATTAGCAAACGTGACTCAGGCTTTCGAGACTCATGAACTGATTTCGTCAGACACACCTCCGTCAGAGTTAATACGACTACGGAGGCATGTAAAGTTCTCCACAACGTCTGGTGATTCGCCCTGAGATGTAAGGCACAGGTTCAGAGACTGTACGTTATGAAGCATTACTTTGAGCTTTGAAGATGCTAAAAGTAAGCCCAAAGATGGTATGATGGCGGTAAGTTTATTCAACAGAGCTTATACTAAGCCTTCGTCTTCAAAGATGAGGGCGTTGTCATCTACGAACTACAGATCGAAAATGTCCTCACCAGCAACGATTTGACCATCCGCGTTTTGAAGGCTCTCTAGCAGTCATTTCATTAGTTCATCAATGACGAAGTTGAACAAGAGTAGGGAGAGTGGACATCCTTGTCGAACACCATTTTTGTGCGGAGGGCTCACCATCCACTTACATACACCAAATAAAAAAACATTCAGCGATAGCACCTTTCGGTGGCACTGCCACGCCACGAGAAGGAAGCACGAGGGCTAGGATACTGCCAGGTTGCCCAAGCCTAGACAGGGAAAGTCGAGCTGCAGAAGCCGGGTTCGGAACACAGACCTTCCGGTCAGTAAATTTGCACACTAACCACTGAGCCATCTCACCCCAGGATAAATGCGAGTTAATCACACTGCTTATCAGCTGCTCATGGCCGAACGGTTAAGCGCACAATCCGGGTGGTCGCGGGTTCGAGACTCTGGTGCTCCATGAGATGTGCACTACTTGTGATTCCAAATAAAGATTAAATAATTGTACAGCGCTTCTCGACTTTTCAGCATAACCTACAGGACGAAATCTCCAGCATACCAAATGACTGTTGCTAGTATGGCGTGGCTATCCTCGTGAGCAGCGTTATAAATACCCCGCTAGAGATGCGCCCTACAGAAATTGTGGAAGGAAAGAGCATTTTCATCCGTTTTAAGTGCGCTATCTTGAATCAGTGCTGGGGCCTCCAAATGTCTCGAAAAAGCGGCCGCCAATGTGAAAGCCAATGGTATTCCACATCAAGCTCTTGTAGATGTTGGTATGTGATTTTCTCATAACTCCGCCACGTCTAATGGAAGGTGCACCCCCATGTGGTTTATTACAGAACCTACAGAAATGCTATGTAGCGTTCGTTTACAATTGCGTAAGAGTCAATGAATATCCAAGAAACTTCGAGAGAAAAAAATGTTAAGGCACCCTTTCGGTGCCTAGCTGCCGTGCCACCCGAAAGGGGCACGAGGGCTGTGATACTACCGGGTCGCTCAAGCCTAGCCAGGGGAAGTCGAGAGGCAGTCGAGAGTCGGTTTCGAACCACGGACCTTCGGGTCAATAAATTCGCGCGCTAATTCAAAAAGACACGTGAGAATGTTCAGTTTGATTCCCGAAAATGTAGTCCATCGGACTCAGTTGCCTGTACCCCGTCGTCACTTGAGATCACTTTGACATCCATCCAGCACAGAAGCTTCACTCTTCTATACTGTTTTTTAGTTGCAACGTATACAACATTCAACCCCCCGTCGATGACATCACGCGACGGCCTATGTGGCGGAAGTATCGACACATACGCGTCCAACGCAGATTCCCAGTATTGCACAATGTGGCATGGCGATTAAGCAGCAATAGTGCCACGCTGTTGTTTGTCAATGGTTCGAGATGGATTGACATCCATCGCCTCGGCAGGATTCTTTGGTTTAATACTGAGGCCTCAAATGACCGTAGAATGGATTTTTGTATTGTCTCTGCTCCACACTGATCAGCATTGCTTTACGTCGCCCCTGAATTGGAAGGTCCTTCGGATGCTATTAGTGTATGTCTGCGGTTTCATGGCAGAAAATGGCATCGGAAGACGAAACGGCAAGAAGGATAACAAAACGTCACGCACAGTACAAATAAATGGTGCCAGAATAAAGTTGGAGAACGTTCGTTACGTCCTTGTGATACAGGTCGATAAAATACCAGTCACTTAGGTTGATCTTACCAGATCCGAGTTTTCCAACCTGGACGTTCATATTCTCCATTAATCTAATTACACATATAGCACACACCACCTTCGGCAACAGGCTGCTCAACCACCAGTGGATCATAAATCGTAGCGCTTTTCGGAGTTGTTCACACACAGAAACATGAGCAGTGTGATTAACTTGCGCTGAGGCATGGGATGGACACAGGGGCCAGAGGATGCGTTGTCAAGATCGGCCACCTTCTTGGATGTCTCAAATCGCGGCATCCCAGGCATCGAGTCCTTGGAAAGGTTCTCGCAGACATCAATCCAGTATTGGTTGCCATAGTGCTGGCTGTTGACAGGCCGTCGACGTGAACAGGCAAACTAAATGCACCAAACCAAATTTTCAGCTGACTACCTCAACGACCTCGCAATTCCTGGTGCAGCTAGAAAAGGAATAGCTCCGACGATTTATTTTGGTGGAAACAAAACAGTGAACCGGAACTGTGGCAGAACGAGTAATGGTCCGCTCCTACAGGTGAATTATGTACAGCTCTGTAACACTCTTGGTTTGAAAAAATAATGTCGACTCCGCTTACCATCGTTTATCCATTAAATTCCCAACACCCCCTCCAACGAGATAAATATTCATGAATAGCGACTTTAGGTACCGGCGTCCTATACACTTCATGCCGCCTGTCCTAAGGGCTCAATCTGCGTGTCACCCATTCATCACTCAGTGCATCGTTCGACATTTGACAGCGTTGCAACAAAAGGGTGCCATAACTGAGCGATGTTTGCATTTCTATTTCCACCCAAGATGACCAGCATGCTTGGACTCAAATTCCGATTAATCCCCTACAACAACAGACACCTTTAAAAACGTCTGCAATGGAGTAAGAACCACGCTGAAATCACCAACGAGACCTTCGTCCCGAAACCAAATCAAGGACAGCATTGTCCTTTACCTAGACAACTGCAAGCCT